GCCGCGGCCAAAAAGTTCCTCTGCTCTCATCTGCATCTTTGTAACATGACTGTTTATTCACAAAGCTTTGACCTGAAAAACGTTATTACTCTGCTGCTCAGTCAGAGCGAGCGCGTCTGTCTGAAGGTTTACAGAAATCACCTGCGAACATGAGCTGCGTTACATTAACGAGGAACAGCTCACACTAACAGGTGTGTTTCCACCTGTGTGACGACCTGCTGTGTCAGTTTAGCCTCGCGCTGGCAGCCGATACCTTTGGTTTTGACGCCGATCCAGTTCAGATACCTGGTGAGCTTCGTGGAGATGTAGGTTTTCCCTCGTGCTGGGAGGCCCACCATCACGATCATGGTCGGGGAGTTGGTGAACTGGGGCACCGAGGCTGAAACGCACAAACACAAAGACGGTGACGACAGGTGACCAGCGCAGGCGTCCGAGGAGGAAAACACGCCGACGTCTCAAAGAAGCCGTAAAAGTTTTACCATCTGAAGTCTGACGAACATTTCAAACACATTCGTCTTATTACTGCTGCCACCCTTCTGCATACTCCTGCTGCTCCATTACAATGCTAGCATCTCTATAGATGGCCCCGCCCCTCCCTGAGCCTGTCGTTGGTTTCTTCCTGTTAAAGGGAGTTTTTCCTTCCCGCTGTCGCCAAAGTGCTTGTTTAAAGGGGACATATGGTTGTTGGGTGTTCTCTTAAAAAATAAATACATTTAAGTAAATGTTTATAAATTAATTTCTATGTTTTTGGTGTAAAAATGTATCAAAGACATTAGAATTACTTCATTTTTATTTCATTTCTTTGAAGCCTTGTCCTCCGTACGATCCTGATCTAAACGTTAAACGGATGTGAAAAGGTTAAGTGGGAGGAGCTGACGCCTGGCTGTGAAGGAGAGGCAGCAACAACACAACGATGTTCGGCTCATCTCGTCTGACTGCACAGCTTTCCTTCCCTGACGTCAGTACAAGTGCACCACGGAGGGTTCGAGCTGGGCTAAATGTTACTTTGGTGATAAGAAGGAACACCGTCTGACCGCGAGTCATGTTTCAGAGTCACAGGCTGTAATCTTTCCTCCCACAGACACGCGCTCGCCGTACAGGAAGGAGGTGATTTTAAGCTCATGGCGAGCTTCTCTCTTCTGTCATCGCTTCAGTTTCATCTGTTTGTTTCCCAACGTTTCTGCACTTTACTGCAGTTTAAGTAGAAGTGCAGCTGAACACAGTGTGAAGCTTACTGTTGTTTCTTCTCATTTACTGTGTTTTTCTTTTTTTCCCACATCAGCACTGATCTCATTTCTTTGATTTCGGTTTTATTTGCTGTCGTTGGCTTTTGTAAAGCACGCTGTGTTTGTGTGTCTGTTGTATATAAATACATCACACCTGATTACTGATTGAAAATAATGTTAAGACCATAAATCACCCTAAAACCACCCATCCTGTGACACCTCCACAGCTCAGGCTGCAGACACACTGACTGCACAGACGTATTCTTGTACGTTTACTTTGGTAAAGGATCCAAATAAAAACTTTAGCACTCAGAAAGCAGCAGTGAGCGCTGGTTGTTCACGTGTGGTGAGGAACGGTGAGTTTCCTCTTCAGGTGTTTGCCTGCTGCTGTCGCCCCCCCCCCCCTCGCTGCTCGTTCAATGCTTACAAAGCTGCAAAATGTTAACACGTCTGAGTGAAAGCTTCAGGGAAGATCTCAGAGGAACCTGACGTTCGTTTGTTTCCTCTTCTGACAGCTGCTCCGTGTGCGTGCGCTCAGACGTCACATCAGCAGCAGAAATGTGGACGTTACAGCAGAGAAGCAGCTACACGCTCTGCTGCCTTGCTCTGAGGTCACAGTCAGGCACTCCTGCACTGATCAGGTTATCCAATCATAAGCTAGAAATGATTTTTTCTGCGCTGCCGCTTAAACAGAGACGTGTGGTCCTGACGTTTGATTGGGTGGGCAAAACGCCCGTTTGGGCAGGCTGAGCCTCGCCCCACACACTTGTCCAACAGCCAGTTTTCATACTTTGTAACTGTTTCTTCAAAATATTTTGTTATTGTGATTCTTTAGATGTTTAGTTTCACTTTGTACAAAATTCTTTAAATGCACATTTGTCGTGTTATTGTTGACGATCTGAGTCCGTCTGACCGCAACGCAATCACACAGCGACCCTTTAGGGTGAATGGCCGTCAGGACACACACAGAGACAGACACACACAGACAGACACACACAGACAGACACACACACACACACCTGGTGAATCCACACAAGCTGTTCAGAAGAAAACGCACAAGTATCAGCATGTCAAAGCAAAACAAGGCATCACAGCACAAACCACGTGTGTGTGTGTGTGTGCACGCACATGTGCTGCATGTGTGCGCTTGTGTACTTACAGCCTCGCCGTCTGTTCAGCCTGCTCTGCATCCATGGACCCCAGGTCTTCTCCAGAGGATTCTGAGTGAGTGTTTGCGACATGGCTTCAACAGCCAGGTGTGTGTCTGTGTGTGTGAACCTGTCCTCTGTATCTACGCTGTGTGTGCGTCTGTGAACAGGAGGACGGGATAAAGGCGCTCTCCCAGCTGTGTTCAGATTTTGAACTTACTCACACCACATCAGAGTGGGAGGAGCTTCAGCAGCGAACACACCTGTTTGGTTTGTGGCAGAGGATGCGGTGCCTCTGATTGGTCGGCTGGCCTGTCAGTCAGTAAAAGACTCTACGATGAGGTCATCCACCAATCAGCATGCGCTGCAGTAAACTTTGTCCCGGCACACAGGAAGTGGTGTAACGTGACAAACGGGTAACAACCATGCTGAGCGGCTCTATTGTGATTCTATCAGCTGACGCCCAATGAAAGCAGCCGAGCCCTGTGTGTGTGTCACATGACCTCGGTCCTCATTAATATCAACCATGTGGGTGGTGACTGACTGGTTTGTTGTATTTAAATGCAGTCCTGAGATAACTACTCTCACACACACACACACACACAGACACACACACAGACACACACACACAGACACACACACACACGCACACGTAATTAAAAAGGAACAAGAGCAGAAAATCCAAACTTCTGCTGCACAGATTCATTAAATGCATTTTAAATGTGATTATTAGAGGCAGTCATGTTTTTGCATGTGTGGAAAACAGCTTGTACCAAACAAAAACACTTTAAGAAACGATCAGACTGAAACGATCAGACTGAGCCTGGACATCCTGACCTTTCTGCAGTAACCATCATTACTCCTCCTTCACGTGACCACAGCGCTGTGCATACGTCTTGATTTTGCTTCCAAGGAGCCAAACCTGTTTTTTTCTCTCCCATTTTCAGTCCACTCCGTGTACCTGACCATTTTCAGAGGAATGTTTTAACTGCTGACCAATGAATCATTCAATGAACCCAACTCCAGGCACTTTACTACGACTCATGTGTCACAAAACATGCCAAAGACCGTTTGACATGCAGAAAACAGTATTTTTGCACCAATGAACGAATTTCCAAAGAGCTACTGGATAAAATCTTAGCATATCTAAGCAAAGTGTTCAGTGTGTCGTTAAAAAATTAAATAAATAAATGAAGAAACCGGAGAATGGAGGAGAAACCCCAGAGGAGAGGCAGTTACAGCTTAACTGCTAATCGCCATCATTGTGATCAATACTGAGACCACAACTATTTGTCACGATTAACAAAATGTGTGTTACACTGTAAACAAATCTCTGCATCGCTGTAAAAGCCTCAGCACGTCTGAGCTGCATCGTTGGCTTTAATGCATTAATTATGTTGATGGAGTCTTTGACACAACCCTGCAGCACTCTGCATGTGATGCCTTCATGTTTAACATCAGCTGCCTTAAAGATGAAGTCTTACCAAACACCATGTCTGCAGTGCCACACAGATACATTTTCAGTGTTACTGCTCCAGGAAGCTTCACACTGCATGGAGCAGGGAAAGGCTGTGATTGGCTCATATAGACGAGTGCTTATTTAGGGAGCGCCTGGCTTGCCTTTGCTTTGATGGCTCATTTAATTCTGGGACATCAAATACAAGTAATCGTGCAGCCCTCGGCCGACGTGTTTGGTCAGAGCCTGCAGATGTCTGTGAAACAGGGAGGAGGCTCTGTCATCTGCACAGCACCTGACCAGGAGGAGAACACCTGCAGTAAAAATAGACCCGGGCAGGAAAACAGAGTGAAACACCGCCATCAGACTGGGCTCCACAGAGTCCACACCTCCATGTTATTACAGCAGTGTGGGATCATCACGGAGAGCAAAAAGCAGAAACATTCTGAGAAGAGCTCCGAACGTCCTTCTAGAAGCCTGAAGAAAAATGACTGGAGACACTTAAATGACAGAAATCTGCCTGAGAGAGTTCAGACTGCTGAATAAAGGCGATCATACGAAAATATTCATTTTACATTCACAGAAATCCGTTTTTGCCTGATATGTTTTAATCCCAACATGCTTCAATAAATCCTTACATCCATTTTCCGGCAGAAAATGAAATTGGCTCACGACTGTTGCACTGAACGTCATTACTTTGCAAGTTAAGCGACATTAAAAAACTTTTCCCTTCGTTATCTCAGTTTATCTCCTTTCAGCAGACGGCTCTTATTCACAGTCGAGTTACTGTCCTGCTCTGTCTCACAGAGTGACGCAGACAGACAGAGGAGGGACGTTATAATAATTATAAACATGTTGCTTTACCTTAAGTGTATAAAACGGCGCTCAGCAGACATTACACCAGAAGAGGGCGAGCGAGAGCGATTTAGAGGGTAGTGAGAAGCGAAACTGAGGTCTTCAGTCAGGTCTGAATCTACCTGACATGACTGTCACCCCCCCACAAAAACGTAATTATTAGAGACAACAAATTTTTTTGTCAAAGCTAGCGTTCAGTGACAGTAACCAACAGTGACCACAAGATGGCAGTAAATGACAGGACAGCAGCAAACAGGCGTTACAGGCTCGCCGACAGGACGCCCGC